ATGCAGCGGGGGCTCCCCAGGGGAACCAGCCAGCATTTCAGCAACAGCACCGCCCAGAGGGAACAGCCAGCATTTCAGCCTTACAGACTCAGACATTGGGCTACTATATATATTTATTATTGTGGCATCTGAACTGTCAAGAAAAATGAAATTTTTAATTGTTTATTATTACTGCCTTTGCGACTGTTTTCTTGCAACAAATGAAAAGAACCTCCCGCCCCCAATAACAGTAGATAATCTGCCTCTGCTCTAGTTGGTTGTATCATTACAGGTTGAAACTCTATAATCCGCACTTCTCTTGTTCAGCAACATCCCTAGACTGGCATACTCTGAGAACGCTCACAGGGATAAGCTGTTGGGCCTGGGCAAGGAGTGTTGCCAAACTAGGCGGCTACGATGGAGTTCCAGGGGCAGCAGAGTCACTGGGAGCAACGCAGAGCCCCCAGTCCTGGGGTAGGGGAGCAGAGCTCCCTGTAACTGAGGGAGTGCAGTAGCATGGCTGATGGAGGGGAGCATGGAGCCCCTTGGGCCATAGTGAGGGTGTTGGGGAGGGAAGTGCAGAGCTGCCGAGCAGAGCATGGAGCACCCCAAGTAGCAGCAGAGCTGCTCTGTGGAGTGAGACACTCCCCAGGCGGCAGCTGCTTGGCAGAGTGTGAAGCCCACCGAGTGGCAGCAAAGCTCCTGGGAAGAGCGCAAAACCTCAGGTGGCAGAAGGGCACTGGGGGGAGCACAGAGCCACTGGGCTGCAATAGAGCTGCTAGAGAGAAAGCAGAGCCCCCAGCCACCAATGAGAGCACAAGGTCCCTAGTAGCAGTGAAGCTGCTACAGGAAGAGTGGAGCTCCAAATGGCAGTGGAGTTCCTGGCCTTTATGGGGAGATTGGAGCCCCCAGCTGCAGTGAAGTTGCAGGAGAAAAAGTAGAGCTCTCCCTTTCCTGCCACACTGTGGAGAGAGCAGAGCCCTGGGTGGCAGTTGAGCTGCCTGGGGAAAGGCAGAGCTCTTTGGCCTCCAAGGGGGAAAACTGAGCCCTGCTGCATTAACCTCTCCTGGTTTGGTAAATTCCCTGGTTTGGGACCAGTCAGGTCCCTAGGGTGCTAGACCAGGGAGATACAACCTGTAATTACATTAATATAAATTCAGTTTGACAGATTCCCAAATGATTTTAAAAAGGTAAGTTTGTCAAATATGAGACACAGAAAGATATTCAGAAAGTTTGGTTGTCATGACAGCAGTCGTATGGCAACTTCTCTCCTTAAATATGAAGTAATAGGAGATGCTTGGATTCAATGATTAGAACTTGTTTGTGATTATAAATCAGGGGGATGCTTTGGCTCTTAGTGGATTTTGCTTGTATGTGTCCCATAAAACATCTGTAGTTTGCACAGTCTTATATCCGTAAATCCTAATAGAAGTTTTGCATTTTCCATCCGTTAATCAGAGTACCCTTACTTCTCAAAGAAAATATTAATTATTGATTTCCCTTGCTATTGATATCTGATCATATTGCAGATTACCTTTAACTGCAGGTGTAACAGATGTATAGTAAGGAAAACAGAAGCAGACAGCAAACTGTTACAGAGATTAGAGTCATGGAAGCTGTAAGCATCAAAAGATGAATGGCACCAATAAAGGTGAAGTCCTATATCCAGATAGAGGAAATAAGCAGCCCAAATATAGAGGAAGGGGTGGGAAATGTAAGTAAACAATCATTGCCATGCATTAAAGGGATGTTTTTCATCCTGTCTCATTAATACTATTGTAACATTGTTTTCATTGCATGGATCTCTCTAAATTTTACAGGGAAGGTCTGAAACTGAGTGGCTGGATGGGAGACATGCAGCATAGGGCCTGTAGTCAAATATTTTTGTACCATGGACTACTTATTAGAGAGGTATTAGGAGATCATCTTTGAGAATATTCAATCAAGATACTACTGCACAATATTCCCTGAGTACAACTTGGCTGCACCTTTTAATAGAAAATTACCTCCAGTAAGTTAAGGATTTGTCAGTCCCTTTAGTGGCAGAAATATAGTGGAACCTGCTTAAAACTAAATTGTTTCTAGTAAATATGTAGTGATGCAAAAGTGGTTGACATTTTATGACCTGTGTTGTGCAAGATGTCATACTAGACAATCGCGATAGTCCTTTCGTGCCTTTAAAATGTCAGTTGAGGAAAAGAAAATTGCCATGTTCTTCTGTCTTGAAAAATTATGCACGTTGCAGTGACCCTTTGCCTGGGCTGGTTTTAAGCATCAGCAAAGCCCTGTATCTTATGGGTGAGCACTCACTCTCTCCTGACAAGGGGGACCAGAATGAGGGGCAGCTCCTAGCTTGACTTTACTGCTGTTTCATCTCTGACGGAGTTCCATACCCATACATGTGGCTTAAATTGAAATTCTCCGGTGAGGGACAAAAGGGAGGGAAAGGGCTT